GGGGAAATCATGATTGCTGATTTATGTCTGTTTCTTCTGATCTGGCACTTTATAAAATGATACAGTGAAGTCCACTTAAATATATCGAGTCCGGAAAAAAACGAGAAGTCTGTTATAAAGACACTATTCTAAAACCCCGTTTTTTTCTCTTCTTTATCTTTGTAAATAAAATACTGCTATAGCGCAGTCAGATAAACACGCCAGTCGGTTATAGCGGGGTATTCCTGCCGCTGTGCGCAGTGCATGGGCCATTTATACCTGATGAAAACCTCGCCAGTTGAGAAACTTGTTGGTAATCTAGCGAAACAAAGAAGGGGAGAGCCCATGTGTGTCAACAATGAAGGCCGGAGCGACTGAGTAGGGAGGGCATAACATGCGCAGACAAGCACAATGCATCGTGTGATAGGCCAGCGTAGGGCCTAAGCCTGCCTAGTTTAGATTATCAAGGACTACCATGTCTCTCACTTCTCCGATGGAGGGGTCACAGTTATTTGATGGATGGAGCGAATGTGCGACGTGCGCAAGCTGACGGAATGCACCACGGGGTGTGGTGGGGTGGGGGAAAGCACAGCGGGTGAGTTAGCCCAGAGCCCTTTTTTCTGATCACCAACGCCGAGCTGCCAGTCAACATCGCTAGATCTAGCGCTAGAGAAAGAAACCTGATTCGATTTTTGATCAAGTAAGACCTAGAGGCCTAGAGGTCATGTTGAAACAAAATCATCATCAGGGGAGATAACAAAAGGAAATAAACAGAACACCAAACTCATAGATTAGGCCTACTTTACAGTTTCCCTTGAATTTATTACTGGATCCCTTATATAGCGAAAACCCTGCTATAACGGACATTTTGCTCCGGTCCCCTCCCTCTCGTTATAACAGGATTCCATTGTAATAACATTGTTCTAAGATGAACACTTTTCTCTTCAACAATGGGTTGTTGTCTTGGACTGGTTTGACTCTCTCTCTGCCTCTTTATATATATATATAAATTATGGATATAACAAAGGCCAACAATAGGGGCTCTCCACCTGCCTTAGGTCTGGGCGGTCTTCCCTACCTACAGCTAGCAACATGTTACCTGTCTGATCTGCCTCCAGATCTCATTCCCAGCTGTAGGTCTTTGCCTTCTTGTCTTTTCCGTTCTTTTGCCTTGTGAAATTGTGCGCTGGCTTCGTAATTAGTGCACACTGCCAATTTGATTCAGTCGGGGTAGCCAGATTTTCCTTTTTGGCTGGGGAAAAAGCTACTATTTTGGTGCAATATGACTGATTCCATGAAAATGTTTGGTTTTGAAAGACACACTTACCGCACAAATGTAGTTGAATTTTGTCATACGAGTGGGGTTCAAGAAGTCTTGTGTCTAAAAATATGAAGGAATAAAGATAGAGCTTTGTAACTTTGCACACATACCTTCATTTCTCTACATAGTCATCATGCAGTGTAACACATTTCTGCCGCCTCTATTTGACCTTCAAAAGTCCTTTAGAAAAGAATGACCTAGAATGGGCCCCTAACCAGTCTTCCACAGCTTCAATGGTGGCCTCGTTATCATGGAACTGACGTCCTTTCAGTGATTTTATAAGATTAGGAAACAGGAAAAAAAGTCTGAAGGGGCAAGGTCTGGTGAATAAGCTGGGTGTGGCGGGATTTCAAAGCAGCATTGTTTTCTGTCTGGTGTTTGTTGTGCCCTGTGTGCAGGGGCGTTGTCATGCAGTAGGAGGACCCCATTACGGAGTTTTCCCACGCCCTTTTCTCACCAATTCGGACCGCAATTTTATCGGCAAGCCGGAATAGTAGTCCCCTGTGACTGTTTTTCCATTTTCCAGGTAGTCAGTCATGATGATACCTTCACAATCCCAGAAACAAGACAGCACGACCTTTCCGTTTGACGGTGTTACCTTTGCCTTCTTTACTTCTTTGGTGAGGGAAAAGGTGTTTTCCATTGCATGGAAGGCATTTTTTGTTCGGGATCAAAGTGATAAATCCATGTTTCATCCATAGTCACCATGTTTTTAAAGAAATTTGTGTCATTGGGCTCAATTCGAAGGAGAGTTTTACAGGACTCAAACTTCTGCTTCTTTTGCTCACTTGTCAAAAGGGTGGGGGG